GGTGAAAATTCTCTTTTTTTATCGTGAAGCGTGAAAAGAAAGAAAAAAAAAAAAATGAAAAAGAAACGTTGATTAGATTAGATAACCGCGATATAAAAATCGTAGTTTGACGCTGTCTTCTCCCAACTCGTGTCTCATCCATAAAAAATGATTTCGCGTGGTTTTTTTCCATCCCGCGAGCGATTTTAAGATAATCCTGAGGTATCGGAATCAGAGGTAAATGGTTCTATTCGCGTGACAATCTTGGTCAAAACTAATCTCGAACTAATAAGGGAATCTTATCGCTTCGAACGCGTAATAATTCTTATCGCGATAACGTTGGGTGGACGAAGCGGATTTCACGGAATACTTGAAAGAAAGACTGGTAATTGGAAAATAGGATTGGAAAATCGAATATGTTGTAAGAAATATTATGACGTTGTGAAATAAAAAGGGATAAAATATAAAAATATAAATTTTTTTAAACTTAATTTGATATTTGGATAACTTTTCTTGCGAGCGATTAAAAAAGTTATTTGAAATTTAATGAAACTAAAATTCATAAAGTTTCTTGTAAACTAATTCGTGAATAATGTATATTGAATGTCATTAAAGTTAACACTTTACTTATGGACTCAGGAATAATCCATAATTTTAATCATTCTAGCACTCGTCTACAAATTAACGAATAATTACAGGTACTTATAATATTCCAAACCATCGTTCGGAAATATTCCTACAATTTGCTCAATATGGTTTCACGTTAATCGAGAATCCATACAATCGTTTATAATTGATTAATTGGATAGTAATAATTGGAAATGTTCGAATAAGTAAAATAAGCTAATATAAAATGTGTAAGAAAATTTGAACATTTTTTTTTTTTTTTTTTACAACATATGTTAAATCGTCTTTCGAAATACGAGAAATTTTATTCCGCATAAGGAAAGAGATAACGGAATTATATTTGGAACGCGAACGCGATAACCTCGCATTCTATTAGAAGAAAAAAAAACTTTCTATCTAGCGTAAACTGTTTATTTTAAATCGATCCATTGGCCAATATCGATAAATTAGAAAACCGATCATCTTTCGGTTATTTTCGGTTAAGTTCGGTAAATTAGGAAATGCGAATCAATAAGCATCGGTAAATTAGAAAGCCTCGATCGTAAAGCCGATCATCTTTCGGTTATCTTCGATCGAACGGCCGAACTTAACCGAGAATAGTCGAAGCGCGATTCGGACATTCTCGGTTATCTCGTTAGTTTTACTACTAAATTATCCCATGTACTCGTATAACTCGGACAATTTTTATCTAAATTACGAACATTCTTCGACGATATTGCACGAAATTATCGGAAAACAAATAAAAGAAACATAACGTTTATTTTATTTATCCAACGTATACGAAATTCTACTCGAGAAATCGTTGGATTCTTATAGATATCTGGAGAAATATTTACGTGATCGTCGATGGAGAACGCTTGGCAAACGCAAACGTGGCGAGTTCGAGCATCCGCTTTGCGCGTACGAGGCACGGAGACGGTTAAGATATAAAGAAAAAGAAAGAAGTTGAAGAGGGTCGGGAGGGAGGGGAGGGTAAGAGTAGCGCGGAACAATTTTCCGTCGCGCAAGTAAGCCGCTTACGAAAAGCGGGCCCGAGGCGTTCCACTCGTTTCTCATGTTACTCGAGAAGAGTTATGGGGACGTATGTGCCCGTTCAACGGCCGGTAGAAAATGCCGGGAAGAAAAACGTTTTCGTTCGAACCGTTTGTTTTCACGGGGATTTCCACGGCCGCGGCAGAAATCGTCCGAAATAACGCTCGCTCGAAATTCGATTCGAGCCGTCCTGACCGCCAATCAAACTCGAATTTTTCTCACCCGATCGATAAGATTTTTTCCACGGATTTTATCGACGCTCGTATTTTTTAATCAGTTGAAAGATATCCCTTTAGCCGTGAATTATAGTTACCATTCGAGAATTTTTGTACATACGTGTATAAAAAAAGGGGGAAGAGGACGATGTTTTTATCGAAATAAATAATCGTAAGTTGAATTTTCATATGGTATGTTGATTGAAATAAAGGATATTTGTTGTGAAAATGAATTTGACTTCCATTTGAAAAAATTCTCGTCTGTTCAATAGACGTATCTATTGATCTAATTAAAAAGTTTTTTAACGATCATTTCTTCCCTCCTTCCTCTCCCCTCTTTTTTTCCATTTTGTTTATCAAAGTAGGGGAATTTGATTAATTTTCGTAACACAATGGGATATCAAGCAAACGATATTAATAATACATGTACTATTGCACGAGTAGCTACTCACTGCTAGCGCACAAATATATCTGTACTGCGGTAATTTTAAACGAAGATTTGAAATTACGAATTATAATTATTATTTTTGCGGTAATTTTAGACAGAAAACAAAAAGGTTCGCGTGTGATTCAACCTACTGCAAAATACAAACTCTCTTTTCGTTCGATTCTTTTTTTCTTTTTTTTTTTTTTTTTTTTTTTTT